GTGCATCCAGGTTGTTAGCGAGGGGGCAGCTCCTGGGCAAAGGGCCCGTGATTCCTTGGAGTCTGTGCGTCGGGATGCAGGCCAGGAAGGCGTCCTCGGCGGGACGTTAAGTGTCCCTAGGAGGACCTGCCACTGCAGAGCTGCTGCAGTCAGAGGGAGTGCAGCAGAGAGCAAAGCTCGGGATGCTAATTAATCCCTCTTGAGGAAGATATTCATTAGGCAGATGCATTCTCACACACACCTACAGGCAATAAATAAAGAGGCTTTGCCTTCCCGCCCGCTAACCAGCGGGCTGCTCCCGATGAGCGCTCCGGAGCCGCCGGAGCGACCCAGCCAGGACACCGCACGGACCCACGGCTTGGAGACAACCCACTGAAACGACTGCATCTGAGGAGACCTCGAAGCCAACACGGCAGGTCAGGAAAGCTGGGGAAAAGATTCCCCTTTGAATTAAGAGCTTTGTATCTTGATACGCTCCATCGTCGCGTTCTGGCAGAGATATTATAAAGGATACAGCCGAAAGCTGCCGCTGCCAGACAGCTTCATCAGGCTGAGAAGAGACGCTCTGGAAGGACTGCATTAATATAACCTGGGGCAAGTTTTGCCGTCAACTGGTTAATTGCTGAAGTTGATTGATGCAGCCCGGGATGAGCAAAGCTCCTTGCAGCAGCAGCAGGACGGAGCAGGCGCCGTGGGACCGGCCACCAGCGCCTCTGTCCTGACATCCGAGCGATGCCCGAGACCCAGGGGACCTGCCCTGGCAATCATCACTTCTGAAGAATAAACCTGCTTCAAGAGTAACTGCTCAGTCCTGATTTCTGGCATGAGGTGCTCGGTTTGGATAAACATCATGGTTTAGTTTTGTTGCTTGGAGAGTTACGGCAAAACCTATTTGGAAGAAAATACTTATTTTCCCTCATGTGAATCCGACATTTGGATAAAATGCCAAATTTCAGAGCAAGGGCAGGGAACGACCTTCCCAGGAAGGGAGGAGTAACTTCCCTCTATATCGAATGGACTCTTCCTAAGAGGAGTTAGCAGGAGCAATGCCCTAGGGCCAAAGTTGATTCCCAAAGTTTCGGGAAGAACGAATGACGGCACTTCCGAGGCCTTATGGCCAAGTCATGTTACTCGAAAGCAAAGCCAGTCTAAGCAGATCTGCTGGAGACAAAGCAAACGAGATTTCTGATTGACTGAGTCCAAGTTATTCCCTGTTTTTTCCCAGCTATGTGCTCGACCCTGGCAGTTCCCTGTTCACCCCGAGCAGGGAGGGCTGCCGCCAACACTTGCACGAAATTCCAAACCTCTAAAATGTCCATCTTAATTAAATTAGCTGTATCCATGGGGTTCAGCGGTAGGTCATGGCATCTGGGCGATTTCCCCTCTGGTGCTGGAGGAGCAGAAGGAAATCGAGAGAGAAATGCTCAGTGACTCGGGATGACAACTGTGCTCTTAAAGACTTAAAGCTCCTGGCAGCGCAGTTGGCCTGCCAAAAACCTGCTGCTAACAATATCCTTTTTATTCCGGGGCCCCAAATTGTCTGTCTGCGAACCTGACCGGCTCTTGCCATTGATTTCAGCGGGGCTCCTGCTGGCCCCGGGCATTTGCCTCAGTCAGTCAGTCGGGTGGTCGGGTGGCTCCGGGGCCAGTCCTTCCCCCCGGCGGAACCTCGGCTTCCTCCCCGATCCCAGCAGGATCACAGAGCCACTTTTGCGAGAGATGCAACTCACAAGTCACTTTTCTAATGGAATCGGCTGCTTTAAAGCAGTTATTTCATGAGGAAGCCACAAATCTGGACAGAGAACACCAAGCAAGCACGAGCGCCTGCTTAACCCAGGCACGTGCGCCCAGGGAGTCTGTGGAGTCTCCTGCTCTGGAGACCTTCCAAACCTGCCTGGATGCCGCCCTGTGCCCCGTGCTCTGGGTGTCCCTGCTGGAGCAGGGGGTTGGACTGGATGATCTCTAGAGGTCCCTTCTAACCTCTCTGGTCCTGTGACTCTGCGTTTTTTAATTATTTCTTTGAAAGAGCCACCTCCAGTCCTTGACCTGGACCTTTTATAACCCTAAGGCAACGTCGCTCCTTGGGTGAATGGGCCCCTTTTGGGGGAAAGCCAGGACCAGCCCTAGGTGGTGCCACCTCCTCTTGGGACAGTCCTGGGATTTGAGGGCTATTTCTTCCTGCTGCATCCGCAGTCGGGGGAGATGCTCATTGGAAACAGGAGCCGTGGGACGAGGGGGCTGTGGGGACACAGGGCAGGGTCCGTCCTGCGGGAGGAGGTCGTGCGGGCATCGCTCCTGCAATGGGCACCCGGCAGCCCTGGTGGCTGCTGGCATTGCTGCTCCACGTGGGAAGGCTTCCAAGGCCTTACCTAATCTTCCCCTCTGTGATCTCACTTACTCCAGAACACAGAAAGTGACACAATGAAATCACACTTTATTTCTTTTAACCTCAATGCAAGGATGCGGGCACCTCAAACGGTGTGGATGCACTTGAACACGCCAGGAGAAGGGGTGCACCTTGCAGTGGGTGCACCTTGCAGGGGGTGCACCTTGCAAAGGGTGCACCTTGCAGGGGCATCCTCTGGGGGTACACCTAGGAGAGGCACCTTTGGGTGGGAGCACCCCCGAGGGGGTGCAGCAGGAAGGAAATTGCACCCCATAGGTGGATGCACCATGCAGGGAGGTGCAACATGCATGCGGATGCACCATGCAAGGGGATAAACATCAAAGGGAGGTGCACCACACGGGGAGATGCACCCCACAGGGGGATACACTATGCAAAGGGTGCACCCCACAGCGGGATGCACCATGCAGGGGTGTGCACCATGCAGGGAGATGCACCATGCAGGGGGTTGCACCATGCAGTGGCATACATCCCATAGCAGGATGCACCATGCAGCGAGGAGCACCTGCAAGGGAAATGCACCATGCAGGAGGGTGCACCATGCACGGGGATGCACCACACAGGGGGATGCACCATGCAGGAGGGTGCACCATGCACGGGATGCACCACACAGGGGGATGCACCATGCAGGAGGGTGCACCATGCAGGGAGATGCACCATGCACAGGATGCACCACACAGGGGGATGCACCATGCAGGGAGATGCACCATGCACGGGATGCACCACACAGGGGGATGCACCATGCAGGGAGATGCACCATGCACGGGGATGCACCACGCAGGGGGATGCACCATTAACGGGGCGCACCCCGCAGCAAGACGCAGCTCCCAGGCCGGCTCCCCCTCGCCGTAAGGGACCCGGGTGGAGGCAGGAGGCCCCCGAGGCGGCGCGGAGCAGGGCGCGGAGCAGACCGCGGGGCGCTGCGCAGCGCGGCATGACTCACTACGGAGCCGCGCGCGCCGCAGCCCGGCGGGACCCCGCGCGCGGGGCCGCGGCGACGCTTCCAG